CCCCCCCCCGGCAGCTCACAAGTGGAGGCCCGACCACGAGAAACCTTCGACGGGAAGCCCCTGGACGTCCCCTGATTCTTTTTCAGGCGCGGGAGCGCCACGCCTTCCACGGCAGAAGCATCAAGCCCGAGAAACCCGGGGCACCCTGGAGGCCAGCAGGGTGCTTCCTGGCGTGGGTCCCCACTGCCATCGCCATCCTACACGGGAAGGTGGTGCATGCGGATCGGCCACGGCGTGCGGCTGGCTTTCTCCCCGACAACCCGCCCGGCGCCAGGGGCGGCCACGCATCTCGGTGGCGGCGCCTACGCCAGCGGCACGCGATCCCCCTCCTCCCTTGCCACCCACCCGCCCCAGCTGTCGTCCAACCAGAAAGGCGGCCTCCTCCGCAGGAGGAGGATCGAGAGAGAGAGAGAGAGGAGGGACCGGGAGGGACATCAGATGCTGGAGGTCCAGGGCGTCCGAAGGCTGTTTCTTTTGCACCCGATGGCCTATGGAAATAGTGGCACGTTCTGTGCAGGCACCGTCTGGGAAGTAGGTACCCCTGGCGCTATCGCGACGAGATAAAGTACCCAGGCATCCGACGTCGTGATTTGCAACGTGGTTCCCAAGAGGTTTGCATCCCTTCCTGGGGACCAGCTTCTCTTTATGTCTGTCCGTCCCAGGAGGCCCAGAAATACGAATAATGATCCAGCATGTTCTTTTCACGACGCGAGGATGACAAGGAGCGAGCTCCTGGAGGCTGCCTCCAAGGGCCGCAAGAATCGGCTCGGGTGAGAAGCAGGTCCTGAGGAAGGCGTTGAGAGCTCCAGGTGCTGTAGACTCGAAAGTAATAGTCGTCGGAGGTCTGGGCAAGGAGGAGGATGAGGGGGAAGAGATGAAGAGGGGAGGAGGAGGAGGAGGAGGAGGAGGAGGAGGAGGAGGAGGAGGAGGGCGAAGAAGATAGGGAGAAGGAGGAGGAGGAGGAGGAGAAGGAAAAGGAAGAGGAGGAGGAGGAGGAGGAGGAGGAGGAGGAGGGAGGAGGAGGAGGAGGAAGGACGAGGAAACAGGGAAGATGGAGAAGGTTGTGCCCTTGGGATTCCAGAGGACACAGTGGGGCCTCTCAGGGATTCGGGGGGGGGTGAAGATTCCAAGGTGCTCTTGGGGACCAGAAGGGGGGACGAGGTCTGTTGCCACGATCAGGCTCCCTTAAGCCAGGTTCTGGGAACTACTAAGCTGGGCTAGGCGCTAGGCCAGAATACACCAAAACACAGCAGATCAAGCCAGTCTATGAAACGACCAAGTCACAAACCTTGATGCTCACACAATCCCGTAGTTGTGCGAACAGGATGTTTCGGACTGGGTCGCTCTGATAGGAACAGGCGCGTGAAAGGCGTGGTAGAATGGGCGGGCGGGCACGATGGCCATCTCTGAGGCTCTCGGAAGCGGGTAGGGCGTCCGCCGAAAATGAGCAGGACTGCGCCTGAGGAGGGAGGACGGAGGGAGGTGGGAAGAGGATGAATGCCCCTCCCATAGAGTCCTTCCCATTGCGCTGAGTTGTGTAGCGTGTCATAGCTATAGCGGACCTGGAACTCCAAAAAAGACACCACCGTGTTATGCGCAGTCGAACACGAGGAGCTTTGTACAGGCGGTTGAGCAGGAGGATGAGCAGGAGGAAAAGGAAGAGGAAGGAGTACGACGACGAAAAGCAGCAGCAGCTGCAGCAGCAGCAGGAACTGAAGTGGAAAGAGCGGGAGGAGCAGGAAGACCAGGAAGAGAGGGGTGAGGAGCAAGGCGACAGCGACGAGGAAGGAGTCGATCAAGACATGTGGCCCGCGCTGGGGCGAGAGCACCAGGCTGAACGACAGGAGCAGAGCCCCGATCCTATACCGAGGCCAAAGCTGCGGCGTGAGTGCCATGCTGCGAGAACCGAGAACGTTCAGGTCAGAAACACACATCGCAAACCAAGTCGTACCAACCCTGCTCAACAAAAAAGCATTCGCGGAGGGGGGCGCGCGACTCCAAGGCCGTCTTCGGGGGAGCGAGGGAGATACGAGTCATATGAAATCACTGTCAAAGGAGAAGGGCTTGAGAACCAGGCCGTCTGTCGAAGGAATAAACAGAAAGAGGGCGGGAAGCGGGAGGGAGGGAGGGAGCGAAAAGCAAGACGTCTCGGTGGCCTCAGAAAGCAAGAGGCCAAGTAAAAAAGGGCATGGGCCACACATGGGTCGCCAACCATAACCGCGCTCTAGAAATACCCCCTTCGACGACGAGAAGACAGCGACGGCTGCTGCGAAAAGGAAGACGACAAAGATGGCAGAGACGACATGAATGGCAACGACAACAGATATGACACACGTGGCGCAGACAGCAAAAACTACAGAGACGACAAGCGTCACAAATCAACAACGGCCACAGAGAGACCCACAACGACAAGACAATAAGACGACAAACATGCTGGGACAAGACGACGCCGCCGCCGACGACGATGACGCCGCCACCGCCACCGCCGACGACGACGACAACGCCGACGCCGCCGTCGGCCCTGTCGGCGCTGTCGCCGCCGCTGCCGACACGCCGCGCGTCGGCTGCTGGCCGCTGCCCTCCGACCCGGTCCGACGCGCGCGGATAGGATAGCCCAGAATCGACTCGATAGAAGTCGGACCGGCGGAAATCGGCAGCCGAGTCGGGAGAAGACGAATCGGCGGAAATCGACAGGCCAGCACGCCTCCGATAACAAATTGGAGCCCACAGCGGAATCCCAGGCCGAACCGAATCGGAATCGGAAGCCACCGAGCCCGAATCGAGCCGAAGGCGCCGAGACCGAGCCGAAGGGGAGGAAGCCACACAGAGATCGACATCGAACCGAATCGACGGAGCCGACGCCGAGCCCTGCGCGGCCGGGGGCCTCCCGCGCGCTGCCCCGCGACCCGCGGCTGCCGCGGGGAGCCTCGCCGGCGGCGCCCCCGAGCAGCGCCTCGCCGGGAGCCCCGCCGGCGCCGGGCGGCGGCGCGGCGCCCTCCTGGGCCGCGGGGCGGCACGCTCCCCAGGAGGCAGCGAGCGCATGGAAGAGATCAAGACGGAGGCTTTTCACTGTCTTCGGCCTCTATAGGGGCCCTCGCTGGGCCCCAGGACCGTCGAAAAACGACTCGGGATGAGACACCGGCCCCAGGGGATGGATCGAGACTTCGGGGGACCCCGCATTAAAAAAAACACGACATCGAATCAATGGGTCCGCGCCGAGGGCGCGCGGCGAGCGGCGGCGGGAGCGCCGGGGGGCTAATCCCAGGAGGTCTCCGTCGAACGGCTGCAGGGGTACCGTAACCTGGAGATCCAGCGCACTGGACAAAAAAATCGGGACTACGGTCGTTTCGCCCTTTTCGGCCTCTGGAGGCCCTCGCCGGGCCCCGGGACTGTGAACAAAACGACCCAGGATGAAACGCCGGTCCCTGGGAAGGGGTCGGGACCTCCGGGGACCCCGCACTGAAAAAAACACGACATCGGATCTCTGAGAAGCGTACACGATCACGGTGCCATTTAGCAACGCTGAGCAGAAGTAAGCCAAGGATCAAGCCAGATTGAGCTGGTTTCGGCGGGATCCAGCCGGATTCCCAGACCCACGACGTAGTGATTTTGTTCACGACGTCGACCCCCAGAGGTCCCGGGACCGGTTTTTCGTCCTGAGTCGTTTTTGACTGTCCCGAGGCCCAGGAAGGGCCCCCGGAGGCCGAAAATGGCGAGAAACCTCCCGTCGCGATTTTTTCACAATGCGAGGAGGTCTGGGTTGATCAGCGGGATAAAGCAGACTTGGATCCTTTGTTCGATCCTGGGCATACCGGCGCCGACCCCGAATTTACTCCCAGGGGCTGCGTCCGAACGAGCTGGCCCCTCCCGCCACAGGCCGGATGGATCCACGGCTCCACCGATGGCGCACGCTCGGGCCCCCGCCTGGGGGAGGCCCTCGGAGACACGGAGCGCCTCGACGCCACACGAGCGGCGCGGGGGCCCGGGGGAGGTCAAGAATCGAGCCCCACGCCACGAAGCTCTACACACAGACACCCGCCGACGAGTCTCTCTTGTGGCTTCAGGGAGGGTGGGGGTGCATGAGATCTCTCTCTCGCAGTGTTCTACACACCGCCAGCCTCCCCCGAGGCCGAGGAACAATCCGCTGGGGGGGGTATGTGCACATATCCGCCACCGTGCCGCGAGGCACGAGTTGGATTGTCCTCAGAACCCTTCAGCCCTCCGTCCTCAGTCCTGAGCGCATGGATATGAGAAGGCCTGGAGCCAAAATTCCCAATTCTCAAAGGGCTTGAAGCGTCGTCCTTGGCCTCCTGGGCCTCGGCGAGTGCTGTCGCGTGACTCCTTCGGGACCGAACGGACCTCAAGACGGGCCAAAAGGCCAAGACGCCCCAAAAGAGCTCCAAGGAGCCCCCCAAGAGAGCCCCGAGAGGCCAACATCATGTAGTTTCTGTCGGCCGCCTTGGACAGGTTCTAGCCTTCTCGCCTTTTCGGGCCGTCGACGCTCCAAGGCAGGCCAAGAGGCCCCCAAGACCTCCCCACACGGCCCAAGAGGCCCCCAAAAGGAACCCCAGACGGCCCAACAGGTCCCCGAGACAGGCCATGTCGATCAGAGGGACATGATCGCGAGAGAGTACGCGATGCATGGTATAGCAGGGCATAGCATGGCATAGAAGAGCACGGGCACAGCCGACGTCGTCGCGTAGCGGGAACGCACTTCTGAAAGCACTGAAAACCTTCGGCGGCATCCTGTGTACAGATCAATAAGAAGAAGAGGCCAGGACATCTCTGGCGCCTTCGGGGGAGAGCAGAGTCGTAATCAGAGTGCGATATCGTGGACTGAGGCAGACGGAAAAGGAGAGAGCAGGGAGCGAGGCAGCGAAGGAAGAGAAGGAAGGAAAAAGGCAGGAGAGACCAAAGAGAAAGGTGAGGGCGAGCACGAGAAAGGAAGAGCCGCTGATAACACCAACAACAGCGATTTCCACGGCACTCGAGGGTACCGCCACCGTCCTCGTCGCTGTCATTGTCGTCCTCCTCTTCGGGGTTCAGCTTCTGATCGGCCTGGGCAAGGGAGGTCGGGGGCGGCCAAGAGGGGGGCGTCCAACAGGGGGGGACAGCCAGACAGACAGGCGCCGATGTGCGCCCCTGGGGGCGGCCCTCTCTAAGAGCTCGGATGTCGTACTACATGGTTATTTTACCATCGCGAGCGTGTACTATTGGCTCCACTGGTACAATCCTTCCCATGAGTTTGAACATGCAGCGTCGTAACAAGAAGGGGCGCGTTTGCCTCGCAGACGTGTGTGCGAAACCCATCACCTCGGCCATAGTTTGTGTAATTTGTACATAAATTCCAAAAACTCGTCTGTCTTGCTCAGCGGGTCTCCAGTCCCATGGTGAAAGTTGTCGCAAATACTCCGCCAGAGACAATATCGATGCATGAACTCATAACGCTGCTCCACTTCAACCCTCGACAACTTCGTGCAGCTTGGATTGGGGAATATTGATTTTCATTCCACAGTTTGGTTCCCAAAAGTATCCAGCACCAAACCTATGCAACTTGTTCCGTCCTTCGCATCGATGAACACATCGATTTGTGTCTGAATACACGAGATTAGACCGTCATTTGTGACCTACTCAGCAGGGGGGGGGGGGGGGCGCAAATCATGGCTGGCGGCATGTGCGAGTCCCAGGGAGTGGGGCAGGGACGTAGTGAAATAAGGAGAGGCGCCATGAAATCTGAGGAAATATCATGGCCCCCGCCATGATATTCCCCCCCCTCAGTCATCACCCCCCTCTTGGCCGCCCCCGAGGAGGAAGGGGTTGTAGAAAATCAAGGCGGTGGGCGGGACGCCAGGACGGCGGGACGGCGGGGGCAGGGGGAGAGGGGACAGAGGACGAGGGGGGCAAGAGGGCGAGGGAGCCCGAGGGGGCGAGAGCGGCGAGGGGACGAGAGGGCGGAGGGGACGAGAGGCCGCGGAGAGCGGAGGGAGGGAGGGCCGAAGGGGGCACGAAGAACGAGGGGCGGGGGCCCACGGGCCCGGACCTCCCAGGAGGGCCAAGAAAAAAAACAGCACCCGCACCACGACGTCCGAAGTCCCGTCGAGGTCCAGAAGCAGCCTGGACAGGTCTTCAGGTCTGGGGGGGGGCCTTTTGGCAGCGCTCTGGAAGGTCAGGGGAGGGCCCCCCCCCGGGTCGTCTCTCGACGGCCCCTCCCGGGCGACGACGACGACGACGACTTTTAACAAGGACCTCTGCCTGAATTCGGAAAGCCGCTGGCAACGGCCTTAGGGCGCTCCCAGGCACGTGTCTACCGTGTTGTCAAATATTCCGCGTGGGCAGATGCCTGCGAGATCCGCGAGCACGCGACTCGACAACAGGGTGGGCCAGGTCCCCGCTGGGGTAGACAAAGGTGCTGGCGAGCACAAGAGAAGCGCAAAGCGAAGACCGAGGACCAAGCTCCTCAACAATACAGAAAGGTCAAAACTTCTTGGAATGCTTACCCTAGCCAGTGAGTCTCCAATCTTCAAGGGTGTCCCTCGTCGGGTGGGTGCAGCGCCGGGCGAGCCCTCGAACTTGGCCGTGGCTCGAGTAGCACTTACACTTCAGACAAACAGTCAAAAACGGCGCCACCGCTGCGCTCCAAAAAAATTATCCTGGCGAAGGACACAACCATATGCAATCGTGAATAACGCTTTGTGGGTGCCGCTTTCGGTGGGGCTCCTTATGGGGCCACGAAAGGCGTGCCACGAAACGCTGTCCTGGGCGTACGGGACGCATGAGGGCGGTAGCACTGGGGCCTTCGGTGGAGCTCCCTATGGGGCCACGAAACGTGTGAGGGGTGTGCCGAAATGGGTGCGGCGCCGCCATGCGAACGCAGCCACTGGGGCCTTCGGTGGAGCTCCCTATGGGGCCACGAAGCGTGTGAGGGGTGTGCCGAAATGGGTGCGGCGCCGCCATGCGGACGCAGCCACTGGGGCCTTCGGTGGAGCTCCCTATGGGGCCACGAAACGTGTGAGGGGTGTGCCGAAATGGGTGCGGCGCCGCCATGCGAACGCAGCCACTGGGGCCTTCGGTGGAGCTCCCTATGGGGCCACGAAACGTGTGAGGGGTGTGCCGAAATGGGTGCGGCGCCGCCAACGCGGCCACTGGGGCCTTCGGTGGAGCTCCCTATGGGGCCACGAGACGTGTGAAGGGTGTGCCGAAATGGGTGCGGCGCCGCCATGCGACGCAGCCACTGGGGCCTTCGGTGGAGCTCCCTATGGGGCCACGAAACGTGTGAGGGGTGTGCCGAAATGGGTGCGGCGCCGCCATGCGAACGCAGCCACTGGGGCCTTCGGTGGAGCTCCCTATGGGGCCACGAAACGTGTGAGGGGTGTGCCGAAATGGGGGGCGCCGCCATGCGAACGCAGCCACTGGGGCCTTCGGTGGAGCTCCCTATGGGGCCACGAAACGTGTGAGGGGTGTGCCGAAATGGGGGCGGGCCGCCATGCGGACGCAGCCACTGGGGCCTTCGGTGGAGCTCCCTATGGGGCCACGAAACGTGTGAGGGGTGTGCCGAAATGGGTGCGGCGCCGCCATGCGGAACGCGGCCACTGGGGCCTTCGGTGGAGCTCCCTATGGGGCCACGAAACGTGTGAGGGGTGTGCCGAAATGGGTGCGGCGCCGCCATGCGACGCAGCCACTGGGGCCTTCGGTGGAGCTCCCTATGGGGCCACGAAACGTGTGAGGGGTGTGCCGAAATGGGTGCGGCGCCGCCATGCGCGCAGCCACTGGGGCCTTCGGTGGAGCTCCCTATGGGGCCACGAAACGTGTGAGGGGTGTGCCGAAATGGGTGCGGCCGCCATGGACGCAGCCACTGGGGCCTTCGGTGGAGCTCCCTATGGGGCCACGAAACGTGTGAGGGGTGTGCCGAAATGGGTGCGGCGCCGCCATGCCACGCGGCCACTGGGGCCTTCGGTGGAGCTCCCTATGGGGCCACGAACGTGTGAGGGTGTGCCGAAATGGGTGCGGCGCCGCCATGCAGCACTGAGGGGTGGAGCTCCTATGGGGCCACGAAACGTGTGAGGGTGTGCCGTGCGGCGCCGCCATGCGAACGCAGCCACTGGGGCCTTCGGTGGAGCTCCCTATGGGGCCACGAAGCGTGTGAGGGGTGTGCCGAAATGGGTGCGGCGCCGCCATGTGAACTGGGGCCTTCGGTGGAGCTCCTATGGGGCCACCGTGTGAGGGGTGTGCCGAAATGCCATGCGAACGCAGCCACTGGGGCCTTCGGTGGAGCTCCCTATGGGGCCACGAAACGTGTGAGGGGTGGGAGGAGGGAGGAGGGAGGAGGCGGAGGAGGAGGAAGGAAGGAAGGAGAGGAGACGCGGGGCACCGTCTCTTCAAAACGAGGACCCAACACCACAGGATGGTTGGGAACAAATTGATTATGAAAGAATTCCCCTGGAGGCTGGGGCTCGACCGTTTCCGATTGAATTCCCATTCAAGAACAAATAGATTATTAAGGAATTCCTCTGGAGGCTGGGACTCGACCGTTTCCGATTGAATTCCCATTGAAAAGCAAATAAAATATTAAGGCATTCCTCTGGCGGCTGGGACTCGACCATTTCCTACGGAATTCCTATTCAAAAATTATCCTGGCGAAGGACACAACCATATGCAATCGTGAATAACGTTTTGTGGGTGCCGCTTTCGGTGGGGCTCCTTATGGGGCCACGAAAGGCGTGCCACGAAACGCTGTCCTGGGCGTACGGGACGCATGAGGGCGGTAGCACTGGGGCCTTCGGTGGAGCTCCCTATGGGGCCACGAAAGCGTGTGAGGGTGTGCCGAAATGGGTGCGGCGCCGCCATGCGAACGCAGCACTGGGGCCTTCGTGGAGCTCCCTATTGAAGCGTGTGAGGGGTGTGCCGGCGCGGTGCGGAACGCAGCCACTGGGGCCTTCGGTGGGAGCTCCCTATGGGGCCACGTGCGGGGGTGTGCCGAAATGGGTGCGGCGCCGCCATGCGAACGCAGCCACTGGGGCCTTCGGGGCCACGAAACGTGTGAGGGGTGTGCCAGAATGGGGCTGGAACCGCATGCGGGCGCAGCCACTGGGCCTTCGGTGGAGCTCCCTATGGGGCCACGAAACGTGTGAGGGGTGTGCCAGAATGGGGGGTGGAACCGCATGCGGGCGCAGCCACTGGGGCCTTCGGTGGAGCTCCCTATGGGGCCACGAAACGTGTGAGGGGTGTGCCGAAATGGGTGGGGGCATGCGAACGCAGCCACTGGGGCCTTCGGTGGACTCCTATGGGGCCACGAAACGTGAGGGGTGTGCCGAAATGGGTGCGGCGCGCCATGCGAACGCAGCCACGGGCCTTCGGTGGAGCTCCCTATGGGGCCACGAAACGTGTGAGGGGTGGTGCCCGAATGGGTGCGGCGCCGCCAGGGCGGACGCAGCCACAGGGCCTTCGGTGGAGCTCCCTAGGGCCACGAAACGTGTGAGGGGTGTGCCGAAATGGTGTGGGGCCGCATGCGAACGCAGCCACTGGGGCCTTCGGTGGAGCTCCCTATGGGGCCACGAAACGTGTGAGGGGTGTGCCGAAATGGGTGCGGCGCCGCCATGCGGACGCAGCCTCTGGGGCCTTCGGTGGAGCTCCCTATGGGGCCACGAAACGTGTGAGGGGTGTGCCGAAATGGGTGCGGCGCCGCCATGTGGCCACTGGGCCTTCGGTGGAGCCCTATGGGGCCACGAAACGTGTGAGGTGTGCCGAAATGGTGCGGCGCCGCCATGCGGACGCAGCCTCTGGGGCCTTCGGTGGAACCCTATGGGGCCACGAAACGTGTGAGGTGTGCCGAAATGGGTGCGCGCCGCCATGTGCCACTGGGGCCTTCGGTGGAGCTCCCTTGGGCCACGAAACGTGTGAGGGTGTGCCGGAATGGGTGCGGCGCCGCCATGTGGACGCGGCCACTGGGGCCTTCGGTGGAGCTCCCTATGGGGCCACGAAACGTGTGAGGGGTGGGAGGAGGGAGGAGGGAGGAGGCGGAGGAGGAGGAAGGAAGGAAGGAAGGAGAGGAGACGCGGGGC